GCCTCTACCTCCTGAGTACTTGGGTGTGCTACCATGCCCAGATAAAAAGAATATTTTCAGTCCATAGATTGTTGAATCCATAAATTCAGAACATGCAGATCTGGGAGAGACAGCTGTATGCTAAAAACTGTAAAATGGTAGTGAAAGAAGTTCAAATTGATACACTGCACATATCCAGGGATTGGAAGAATAAGATCATTGAAATCTCCAAACTATTCAAAACAATTTAGAGACTCATAATCCCTGTAAAAATTCCAATAGCATTCTTCTCAAACACAGAAAAAAAAATCCTGAAAGTTTATGTGGAGCCGATAACCTCAAACATTCAAGTGGTGGGCGAAAGGAACGGAAGTGGAGGCCTCACGGACAGTTTCTGATCTCACAAGGCGCCACAAGCCACAGTGACCAAAGCACACACAGGCCGAGAGTGTAACACGACAGAGAGATCAGAAACAAACAGATGCATTCATGCCCAGTCCATTTTCAGCAAATACAGATGGCATAGAAAGGGATAGAACAACCTCATTGCTCTAACAGTGTGGGAATCGCAATCCACACACAGAAGTATGAAACTGGGCCCTAACCTGGTTGTACAAGAATCATTCACAATTGATTAAAGAATGAAAAACAGGACTGGTGAGATGGCTTAGTGGGCAAAGCCACCTGCAGCCAAGTGTGACAACCCAGAACCCACATGGTGGAAGGTGAGAACTCCCCCAGATTGCTTCTGAGTGTCTCAGAGGAGCTATAACACAGAAAATAAATCAATAAAAATGTAAAAATAAGCCAGGTGGGATGGAACATGCCTTTAATCCCAGCACTTGAAGGCAGATGGATCTCTGTGAGTTCTAGGCCAGTCTGGTCTACACTGAGAGTTCCAGGACAGCCAGGGCTATGAAAATAGATCCCGTCTCAGAAACACTAAGAAAGCCAACAAACAAACCAAAAATAAAACAATTTTTTAAAAAAAAGAAAACCATTTTCCAAACTGGGTTTGAGAAGAGGCTCAGCAGTTAAGAACACTTGCTGCTCTTGCAAAGGACCCCAGTTAAGTTCCCGGTGTCACTGGGCACCGACAGCTAATTATAATCCAGCTGCAGGTGATGCAATGCCCTGCTCATGGATTCACCTATGCACACTCACACACAGACATTGACACACACCATCAACACAACTTTAGAAAGTATATAAGAAGAAAACAATACATAAAGGGCTGGAGGAATGGCTTAGTGGTAGACACACACACACACACACACACACACACACACACACACACA